TCAATCATGCATATAACTTAATATTGTACAAAAATGACCTCGAATTCTATAAATAAGTCAGTCATATACTTCATATAGGACCAAACCTCTCTCTATCTTTAGAATCTCCCACTCTTTTCTCTCTCGTTCTCTCTTTATTCGGAGATCCTCCTCCTCGATCAAAGTTGTCATTTTTTATATAATATTAAGTCATGTGTGTTAATTTAAATAAAAAATATTAACAAAATGATAGATTGGAAACTCAATTATTTTATAGAAATAAAATTAGTTCAATCATTTAGTGACCATATGTGTATCCGTCACTAAATATTCTAGTAATTATGTCGCTAAATAAATGAATTTTTATTTTTTTTAAATCAATAGTCATATATTGTTAATTCTAATAACAAATAACTATAAACAATATTTTATTAAAATATGATATATTATTTAATAAAATTAAATTAGTATAAATACGTTAAGTTGTATAAAAATATTTAAAACTTTTTTTAAAAAATTATTCATCATCATTAACATCATTTCCTGCATCATTTTTCAACTGCTGGGTGTTGGGAGGAACGACTATCTAAGGTTGTGGGAGGTTAGCAAGACAAACGCTAGTTTGCTCGGATGTTCTATAACAACCCCATCATTGTCCGCAACTGATTTTGTATATTGCTAACTTAATTAGACTATTCTTGGATGATAGCCTCTATCCCCTTAATCCTATCTTCATACTCGGGTAGAAACCTCATGGATATTACCATTAGGATATTACGAAGTGGCAGAGGAGGATCTAACACTAGAATATGAATAACACCGAGACACATAAGTTCTAATGCCGTAAACTCTCAATTCTATCTCCCCTTCGATAGTATCCAAATATATCTTGGATATGTTGATATCTAGAGACGATAAATCACCCTCCAACTCGCTTCTTACATTGATCTGCACACGCCCTTATGTAATTGAAATAATTATAATATTAAATCATAAATATATTTTTTAGATTTTGTCGGTAGATACATATATGTTTAAAAAATATTAAACCAATTAAACATAATTAACTTGATTAATTAATTAATTATAAATCAAATTAACTTAATTAATTTCAATTCTAACCAAATTAAATTTAAAATAACAAGAAATTAATAAGTTTTAATATAAGTAAATTTTTAATTCAACCAATTAAATTAAATTAACCTAATTAATTAATTAATTATCAAATCAACTTAATTAATTATAATTCTAACCAAATTAAATTTTAAATAACCATTAATTAACAATTTTTAATATATATGAAATTATAAGTCAACTAATTAAAAAAATTAACCTAATTAATTAAATATAAATCAAATTAACTTAATTAATTCTAATTCTAATCAAATTAAAATAACAATTAAATTAATTTAATTAATAAAAATTAAACAATTAATTAACAAATTTATTCTAAATCAACCAATTAAACATAATTAACCTAATTAATTAACTAAACATAGATAAAATTAACTTAATTAATTAAAAATCAATTATGATTAAATTAAAATTATAATTAATTAATAAATTAATCTAACAATTAACAAAATATATAATTTTTAATAAATTAACCTAACAATTAATAAAATTTAACAATTTGACAAATAAATCTACAAAATAACAATTAAATATATACATAACTACAAATCAAGCAATTAAACTTAAAATTAATCTAACAATTATAATAAATTATTAACTTTAATTAAGAAAATAAAAGAGAAAAATTTATCTAATTCGAGTGGAATTACACCAAAATGAGGGAATGAAAAACGAGAGTTTTTTGGGAGAAAAAACCTTAGAGGGGTTTCGATTGATTGAGAATGGAGGAGTAGAGTTTGATGGATGTTTGGAAGGGGGTGTTCAACGATTGCTGACTAGAGAAGGAAAGGGAGAAGAAAATGAGAAAGAAGGAAGAAAAAAGGGTTTAATTAGGGATTGAAAAATAACGACGGACACGATCTCTTCGTTGATCCGTCGCTATTTAGCAATGGATAATTACGTACATCGCTAATCCGTCTCAAATTTGATGCTTTTGATTTTCAAAATGTTCGTCCAATTTTGTCAAAATTTTCACTTTTAGCATCGGGTTTTTATATCTCTAAACTGCGAAAGATTTATCCTTTAGCAACAAAAATTCTATCACTAAATTGAGATACTGAAATCAGCAATGGATTTGCTATTGCGTCACTATTTTTCTAGCAAATTCATAGCTAAATCGATTCTAAAACTCTTAAAAAGATTTTAACGTCAAATCTAGCAACAAATTAGTGTTTGTTGCTAATAAGCCATCGTTATCTTCAACGGATGCTATTGTGCGTTTTATTTTTATTTTATTGGTAGTGGCTAAAAATGATATGTACATGTAGATGAATTTAAATAGAAAAGTTAATTTCTACAATGACGAAGATTAAATTCACTTATTAAAAATCATGACTTTTGCAATGTATGTTGTTGGAAATTGAAAAATTAAACCATTGTTTAGTACTTTTCTTTTGTTCATTCATTTTTTTTTTCTCTATCTCTCTCAGAGTTGGTCAAGTGGGATAAATAATAAAGTTTTTTCCTATAAGCTAAACGTTTTGAAGTAATACTACTTTCTCAAGACTTTTGACTTGAAGAGGCCTGCAGTTGACTCAATTAAGCAACCTAGCTAAACCTACCATGCCATGCAAATCATATATTATATTTCCTGCATCGATTAGAGAAATGCATGGAGGTTGCTGTATACCTTTCGGGATTTTCTTGGCTTGACTGTGTTTCATTGGCTGTTATGGTAAGTAACCCAATATTGTTTCATGTCGCTATCATACCCATTGCCAAACCATTGCTCCCACCTTTAGACTATCGAAATGTTTAATTATGTTGAAGAGGTTTATGTAAAAACAAGAAGCATGAAAACAAAGTATTTTTGGTTTACTAGACTTGGTCGAGTTTGGAAAGATTTGCACTACATGTCTCATGTCTCACCTACTTAAATCTTTACCTAATTCAAAATTCTCAATTCCATAATCATCACTCAATATATATATATATATATATATGCTTGTTTAGTACGTAGCTAAAAATCACAAACATCTAACATGAATTTAAGGAAATGGTTATTTTGAATAAAAAAATTTAAGAATGCAAAAACTATTTTCTCATGAAACATTTTACATAGAATTTTTTTTTAACAATGTTTGATAGGTAATATTTCAAAAAATATGTTAGTAGTATAATGATAATGATGATACATTGTTATAGTGGTTGTAATAATAGTTGTTATAATGATTGTAATAATAGCAGTGATGGAGAAGGTAAACGTGTAGGTAATGATAGTGGAGTAATGACAGTGATAGAAGTAAAGGCGGAGGTAGTGACAAAATTGTAACGATGGTGGTTAAAATAATTAGATAATATTATGAATGAATTATTTTATGTATAATATTTTAAGAAACTTCAATATTCTAGAGTATTTTCAATAAATCAACTTAGTATAAAAGTTAACTGTAAAATATTTTACAAGAAATTTTATGAGAAACAAATGTAAGAAAATCAAGAAAAGATTTTTCTATTAAATATTTTATGCAACATAAATGGCTAAATCTAAAAGTTTATACGTTAATGATAAAGATCCAAACTCCCTTATTAATTAATCAATCCCGACTTGGATAACATTCTTTTAACCAAACTGTATATATGAACTTATCTCGTTGTATGTAAGCTCACTTGAAGAGATTTTTAGTCGTAAAAAGAAGAAAAACTCTTTATTAATTCCTCATGACTTTTGCAATCTGTTGTTCGAAATTGAAAAATTAAACCATTGGTACGTACGTTTGGTCTATTCTTTTGTTCATTATATTTTTTTCTCTCGCAAGTTGTCAAAGGTTACCCGAAGCTCATGTAGAGGCACCTACGGCAGGATCCGTCTTCTTGGCGAATATTTTGCCAAATATACGAATCAAATCAACAATTTATACGAATAGCTATATTATTTTCACGGAATATTTTGCCACCTATCAACTTTATGGAGCTAAATAATTCGACTTTCCATATTAAAAGCATAAATCAAACCTATAGTAAATTATAAATTAATCCTTCTAATTTCATAAAAATAAATTAATTAGTTCCTCTCATTTTAAAAATTAATTATTTAATCTCTTAAACGATATTAATCACATTTAATTTTATATTATTTTATTTTAAAAAAAATATTTTTCTTGTTCATGAATCTTTTTATAATATCATTTTTTTCTTTATATATATATTTTTTAGAAAAGAACATAAAATAGATGAAAATGATTAAATAAATAGTTTTTGAAATATAGAGGACAAATTGATTTGTTTCTCAAAACTAGAGGGACTAATTTATATTTGAATCTTTGAACCCGCAACCTTTTTCCAGACTGCAAGACATTAAGAAAGACTCGGCTGTGGTTTGGCAGCTAATACTGTCTCAATTTCAACAACTATGATTATACATGGTACATGTAACAAGCAGTTTGGCAGTGGAAATCTTCCTAAAATGAGAAAATGTTCTCTTCAATTCTGCAGCATAAGAACAAGGCATTCCAAGAGGGTTTGGGCTCCGTTTTATATTGGGTTTAGAATAATAAGCATTGGTTGCACCTTGAGTGCTAGTATTTATTTTGGCCCATGCATATAAATCTGGCTTAATGTTCCAAGCTCATTTATTGATGAAATAAGCTTTGTTTGGGAAAAAAAAATGAGTAAAGAAAATGAACAGAGATAGAGAGATAGGCTGTTTTAGTTATAGCTGACACATTTATAATGTACATTTATTAGGCCCTCATATGTCGATGCATTTCTATTAGACAAGGCCGAGGAACATGTACATCAACTTCAGCGAACAAAATTGACTTGATCAAGAACTACATTTGTGCCAATTCCTGCGTAGGCTTTCTGGCTGTGCTGCCTCTCTAAAGATCAAATCTCTAGTTTACACACACTCTTCTGCAATGAATGGCAGAATGACCACTTGTTACAAGCCTCTATGGAGCTCAGAACAGTCTTCGGTTGGCGAGTGATCATCATGCCCCTCTGTATGATCTCTATCAGCCATTATAGGCAAAGAGGGGTATAACTCTGGTTGTGGAAATAGCAGCTTCAGACGAAAAGCATCAACTCCATTTAAGTAATAGCGAAAGAGTCGTTTTGCTCTAATAAAACCAAGACGGCCATATAATGCGAGTGCTCCTTTATTTGTAACTTCTGCTTCCAATGTCACCTTAGGAGAGGAAAAAAGAAAAAACACGACAATAAAAAGACTAACAACTAGCACTTCAGCTTCCCTCTAGTAGAAAATTAACATGCTTGAATAAAAATATATAGTTGGGATATGTTACAGCATAAGCAAATACAGGAAATGTACTCATTTTATGACCCAAATTCTTTGATGTGGCATCCCTATGTTCTGCAAAAGGACCATTTATCAGCAGATAAGCAGAAAAAACAGATAATAAGTTCATTTCAACTGTTCTGATATCCTACATTCACAGTAAATCCAAAAAGCCACACCAGTTTAAACCAATTCTATATTCTCTCCTAGTTTTGTTTCTACATTCTTTGCCTGATTTGAGAGAAGAGAGCATATTCATGCATGAACATGAAATAACTAGAAATCAAATTACTGTGTTATTCACAAACACAAGGACAATCAGCAAAGCCACTGAATTTTAGGAGCAAAGCCTCACAAATTGTTGGCTTCTTGGGCCAACAAACATTTAAGAAAAATTATTGAACTATGATACTGCAGCAAAGGACGGAAATGCCATTTGTGTGGTTGATAACATCTTTTTTATTCTTGATCAAGCAGTAAATTTCTATTGGACTTTTTTAAGGTTTTTTTTTTTTTTTTTTTTTTTTCCTTCATGAAATCATTCTTTAAGAACAAGTTTAACAGTTTTCAACAAAGAAAATTGAAACTTTCTGCGATAGTTCAATTTAACCATATCCATAAATCAGCTAAGAGTTCCTAAGTCAGTCGGGTAGGTGCAATCAGTCATGAAGTCAAAATATCACTCATAAACTGGCAGAACATTAACAACACAAGCAATTGTTTTGCATGGACTGATGTTTATGTGCAGGGATATCTCCAAAAGGACCAGCTTACTTCACCCTACTAAAGGTTAACACAAGAGGAGAGACGGAATTGAAATAACAAATGCAGAGAAAAGTAAATAAGAGACACGGTGTTACTACATGAGCACATGGTATAAACATGCACAAACACCAAAATGGTTCAGAAGAAATGGCTTTTGGAGGCGCAAATAAGAGATAAAGCATCACAATTTACACATGCCAAAATTGCCAACAAAATTCAAGAGGAAAGCTTCTTTTCCCCTTAGGTTTGAGATCAAAGAGCACAATGTTGCAGAAAAGAAAGATATTCGAATAATTGGCAATAAAGGTAATCACTTAAGCAGTTTCATAATTCTCCTTTGTTTCCCATGCTGTTTCAAGCCGCAAACAGAGCCCCAACATTTGATGGTAATGCTTAGAAAATGGAGCTATTTCTACTCTCCTATATGCTCATTCGGTACCACAGGAAGTTCAAATAAAGCTTGAGGATAAAAATTCATGCTTCGTTCGCGATATAGTTGTATGAATAATGCTACATCGAGATGAGTACAAACCAAAAGGTACAACAACTAAAATTTGACAAACCTCTTCGCATCCAGATTCCATCATCACTTGAATAGATCTGGTAACAAGTTCAGTAGCTGCAATATGAAGAGAATTTCAATGGAAGTTACAACATACCCATGCACAATAACGATTAACAAGACAAACATGATTTATCAACACAAAACCTAAAAACTATCAAAGCTTATATACCACATCCAATCCATTGTAAATTCCATCCCAAGTGTAAGAAAACAGAGAATGGACCTTGAGTTAAAATCAAATGCAGCCAGTTTAGACACACAAGCATCCCAAACATACATATTTCACTGTTGATGTTATCAATGCATGTCCATTTTCTTGAAAACCCTCACCTCCTTGCCTTTGATGTTTCCAATAAATCTATAGTACATTGAAAACCAATTCAAGATTCACATATACAATCCAACACAACCTATAACTGTGCACAAAATCACAATAAGAAAAGAAAAAATGAAAAGAAAAAGAAACCATTACCAATGCCTCTTCCTCGATAAGGTTTGATAACAACTAACATAGCAATGTAACCTCTAAAAGTTGAATTTCGATGATCCCCCATCTTACAAACAACAGTCCCTACACATTTCCCTTTATGAAACGCCTGAAATCGAAAACCAACCAACAAAAACACAATTACAACAACAAAAACAAATCCCAAAAACATAAAAGACAAGAAAAGAATCACACTTACCAAGAAAGAAAGTTGTGGCCAAAGATAAACAAAGTATCGGTAAGTGAAGATGGAGTATGGTTCACTGAGTTCTTGATCGACAAGATTCATGATTAACGGTAAATGATGCTCACCACCATAGCTGATATATTCAATCTCTGATGCATCGAATTCTTCCTTTTTCTCTCTTCCTTGGCCATCTTCCATTGTTGTTTTTCTGTTTCCTGACGACTGTGGCTGTTGGGTTCAAACCTCAAAGACAAACTGAAGGGTTCTTGTTAGAAAATGGAGTTGAAGTTGCAGCTTTATAAAGAGTCCATTCGGCCCTTTCTGGTGTTGGACTGGATTGGGTAATGATTTGGGTTGGGCTTAGAAGCATTACTCCATTTCTGGGCTTCAGTCTTGCAATATTTCCGGGTTTCTTGCTATGTTTAGCAACAGGCCCATAAATAATGCCACCGTTTTTTTTTTTTTCACATTACTTAAATAAGTTATTTACACTAACACCCTTTGGGTATAATATTTTGTTGTATGGATAAAATGATCTAAAAATATGTTTTTATAAAGTAACAAAACGAGAATAATTAAATAAAACTAATTGAATAGGCTACACACAAAAATATGCACCGTTAGGTTATTTGCTCGCATGTTGTTGCGGACGACGAACAAACTTATTTACGATAACAATAAAATTATATCGAAAATCAAAATAATTTAATAAACAAAATTATGTAGATTGATTGTATAAATTAAAATCATCTTACATTCGTTGTTAGACGATCGCTTATTCTTTTTTCAATAATGCTCAATGAAAGAATAAAATACAAAATTTTTAAATGAATAAGATCTGAAAATATAATAATACATATAGAAAGATACGTTATTAATACATATGTATCTTTGCATGATATATTTTAATTATATAATCCACCCTACCTTTGAAGTGAGTGATATTATTATTATTATTTTCGGATTAATTTTTATATAAATCGAGACTAAATTTAAATAGTTGCAATAACTATTTGAATTGTTAAAAAATAAATAAATAAAATTTCAATATCATATTTTTGAAAGGTTTAGTGCATTTGCATGTTTTATAAGGAATAATTATTTTCCTAGAGTCACTATTTTTATCTTGATCACGCTGTAGGTAAGGATTCAACTATAGAATTATTAAATATATAATTTTTCAATTAGAGAAAGAGAGAGTGTTTTGGTGGACGTTCGATCTCCACACCTTTCTTATTTTTGCGAGAGAATATATATATACAAGTATAGTTGCTCTTGGTACAACTTATACAAAGCAAGACCACAAGAAAAGTATAAAAGAGCCTAACTAATTTACCAAAAATAATGCCGACATGGCATCACACCAAAATGATGAAGAAAAGAAACAAATAACTAACTATTAACCACTAATCATAGACTAATTAAGCTGAACAATCTCGCTTGGGATGAGGTTCTTCGATACTCCCCCTCGAGGTGAGCACTTGGGGAGTGAATATCCAAGATGCTCATCTTAGACATTAAATATTTAAAGCTAGCAGATGACGGGGGTTTAGTAAAAATATATGCGGTTTGTTCGGATGTATGCACATATCTTGCATCAACAATTTGAGCAATAATCTTTTCTCCGATGAAGTGACGGTCCGGTTCTATGTGTTTCGTTCTTTTATGAAACACGAGATTCTAAGCAAGATGAAGAGCGGATGTGTTGTCACGAGTAGATAGGAACCGTTGGTAAATGATCGAAACCCAAATCGAAAGCGAGAGATAACAACCATATCACCTCACAACAACGAGCTTGCCAAAGCTCTATACTCTAACTCTGTTGTACTTTAAGCAACTAATAACTGCTTCTTAGCCTTCCAACTAACCACGAAGTCCCAAGCAGAACACAAAAACCACTAATGGATCTCCTTGTGTCAAGGCAACTTCCCCAATCACTATCGGCATATGCTCGCAAGGATAAAGGAGAGTCCGTTGCAAAAAAGAGACCTTGCCTCGGATTGTTTTTCAAGTAACGCAACACTCTGTGTGCCACTTGAAGATGAACGAATGCGGGTTTCTCCATGAATTAGGAAAGCACATGAGTCGCATAGCTAATATATGGCCTTGAAAATGTCAAATACGACAACTTTCCTACCAATCTTCTATACTCGGTAGGATTTGATAACTTCGTTTTCATTAGTTTGTTTCAACTTGAGATTCACCTCTAAGGGTGTAGAGGCCGGTCTTGCGGTAAGGAATCCATATTCTTCTAACATATCAAGAACATATTTTCTTTGGTTTAATATAATGCCGTAGTCGACCTTGCCGGTTCTAAGCCCGGGAAATAGCGTGGTTCTCCCAAATCCTTAAGCTTGAATTGGTCCTTCAAGAAGCTTTTAAAGTCAACCATAACTCGGTTTTGAGTTGCTAGCAATAAGTATATCGTCTACATATACAAGCAAGAACAAATGCACACCATTAGATCGTAACATAAACGAGAGAATAATCGCACTTGGACTGAATGAATCCATAATCAAGTAAAGCCGATGTAAGCTTAGCATTCCATCGCCTTGATGCTTGCTTCGACCCATAAAGTGATTTGTTGAGCTTACATACTAGTTTAGAACTCGGAGGAAACTCCCCCGAACTTCATATCCCGGTGGCAAATCCATGTACACAGTTTCCTCCAAATCCCCATTCAAAAATGCATTGTTTATATCTAACTAGCATAAAGACCGATTCCGCATTGTTGTAAGAGCTAGAAAAACACGCACCGTTGCTTGCTTTGCAATAGGATCGAAGGTCTCCTGAAAGTTATATCCCTCAACTTGGCTATAACCTTTTACCACTAATCGGGCTTTATACTTTTCTATAGAACCATCGACCTTCGACTTCAATTTGTATACCCATTTGTAGCCTATTGAATGGCAACTCGTAGGCAAAACCTCTACTCGTCCAAGTGTTATTTTCCTCAAGAGCATTGAGCTCGGCATCCATTGCTTCTCTTCATATAGCATGCTTGTTAGCCTCTCTATAGGTGTTCGGTTCATGGTTTGAGGTGAGTGAAGCTATAAAACTATGATAAGAGAGAGATAGATGTTTTGTAGATATATAGTTCTGAATAGGGTATGATGTGGTGGTATTGGATATTGGTAGGTCGGTTTGATAGGCATCAAGGTATTTAGATGGATGTTTTGGTCTAGTACTTCTTCAGGTGAAGGCTCTACTATTTGAGGTTTGTCTTGTTGGTTAATAATCTGTGGAAGTTCCGGTATGGTTGAGGGTACATCATCATCATATATAGCATGCTTATTTTGATGAAATTATGGCGATGGTAAATTTGGACATAACTCGGAGAGATTAGACTGACTGGAGATAGACTCATTGGAAGAAGAGTTTGATGAGAAAGGGAACATATTTTCATGGAATTTGATATCTCTAGAGACAAAGATAGTATGGGATTCAAGATCATAGAGTTTGTACCCCTTAACATTCGCAAGGTAGCTTATGAAAATACACCTACGGGCTCTAGGATCAAACTTGCCTCTATATGCGACTAGTGTAGATACAAAACAAAGGGAACCAAAAACCCTTAATGCTCGTAATTTGGTAGTTTATTGAATAAGACTTCATATGGAGATTTATTATTCGGAATAGGTGCGGGGACTCTATTGATTAGGAATATGGCGGTTAGAACCGCATCACCCCGAATTTTAAAGGCAAAGAAGCTTGAAACGAGTAAAGACCTAGCAAGCATTAAGAGATGTTGATGTTTTCTCTCCATCATAGCATTTTGTTGTGGTGTTTCTACACATGTGAGTTGGTGCACTATATCGGTTTTAGCAAAGAAATCAATCATTCTAAATTTGGGTCCATTATCGGATCTTATGCACTTAACTTTGTAAGGAAATTGAGTGTTGGCATAAGTGCAAAATTGAACAAGCGAGTGAGCTAGCCTCGGATTTGTGTTTCATCAAAAAAGTCCAAGTGACTCGTGAAAAATCATCCACAATGGTTACAAAATAATGGCATCTAGTTAAGGAAGAACTAGCATAAGGACCCCATATATCAACATGTATTAATTCAAAAGGAACTTTAGAATTCTTTACATAAACAAGAAATGGTGTTCTTTTCGTTTTGCTAAAGGACATATCTCACATATATGTAGTTTGCTTATTACATTTGCATCTAGGAGGTGAATTTGATGCACTCTATCGGAGGTTATATAACCCAATCTAAAATGCCGGAGATCAAAGGTTGAAAGAGAAGAGCTCGCATTGACGACTTAAGTGGGGGAAGAAATGGACTCTTGTGGCCGAAGAAAATAGAGACCGAGCTTTGACTCTAGCATATCCAATTATTGTCCCCGAATCTTGGTCCTGAATAGAACATTGACCGATAGAGAAAGTCAAGAGTTGCTGATTTGAAGCAAGAAGTTTGCTAACGATATAGTAAATTGCAATGGAAAGAAGGAACGTACAAGACATGACTTAGAGTAAGATATGGATATAATTGAACGAGTCCCTACTTATGTTACTTGGACATTAGATCCATTTGGAAGATAGACAAACAAGTCGGACACGAAACATAAGAACCGAACACATCTAGTGAACATACTATATGATCTATTGCACCGAGTGTCAATAATCCAATCTTTTCTATCAAATATAGGTGTGAAGGTCTGTAAAAATATGGAGAAAGTATATATGTGAAGTATGACCGATACCGAGCTGGTAGGTCAATATGTATGGACTGAATTCACGAGCGGGTGTGATGTTGGTGATGGAGAATGCGGGTTTTGCGGTAGGTTTTTGCATGCTTAGTAGAGACATGAGATGATGAGATTGTTACGGAGTTAGATCGGACAATGATCCAACCGTGGCAATTCTTGATTTCCACTAGAGAACACCCGAGTCATACCTTCATCTATCTTTGAATCT